TTACTTCAAATTATTGACTGAATAACATTTTTTCAGTTTAATTGTTGTTATGATTCAGACCTAATGCAGCTGTAAAGATCACATTTGGCAGCAAATTTCTCATCAAGAAAAACCAACACTGATTATATCTGATAACTATTCCAAAAGAACAGATAATTATCAAAATTTAAAAGAAACAACATGGTATATTACCTCACACACTTGAGCTTTGTGTCTTTTTCATTATTACTTCTGCTATACAGGTACAGATGTCTGTCTGGGAGCTACACCAATGGAACATGGTCTAAAGTAGTCACTGGTTTTAATACAGTTAGTATAGCTCTTCAGGCACACAAAACAAAACTCAACCTTACATCGAGGACAAACAACAAATTTACAATGCTTCTTGCTGTGCTCTACCAGGAAGCCACAGGTGGGACAGGCACGGAGAGAGGGATACCCGCGGACTCCCCTCACAGAATCAAATGTGATATCTGGGCAGGTCTGTAGTGTTGTTAGTGACTCGTTGCAGCAGCCATCATTTTCGCAGCGGTCTTTCCGAGGCCGTGCACCCTTCCACTCCCTCAAACACTGCCAGCAGAATTCAAACAGTCGTCCTTTTACTGCTGTGCACACTTTACAGAGGACATTCAAATCTGATCCATTCTCTCTCACCACAGTGGATCTGCATCCAGGACACTACATGGAGACAAGAGAGTGACAGCATTTAATACATAACAAAATTTCTATAATAAATATAATATGTTAATGAGACACTTACAACTTTGGTAATAAGTGTCTGCCTGGCAGCCTTGAATGTCAAAGTTCTTCGGAAATTCTCAGTTTCTTCAGGGTCCAGCAGAGCCATTTTCCAAACCTCTGCAAAAGTCCACTCAGCACTGCAACCAGACCCGCCACACACAAATCTGCTTTCACCCTTTTTTGAAATAGTAAAAGAGAAATTATTTATTTGACTCATGTTGTAAACAAACCACCAAAGACTATGATAAATTGGAATTAAATCATTTTTACCGGTTAAACTAAAATTATTATAACTATAAACTATATTACAGTGGTATTTGCTAACTTTGTACATCTCAGAACTGTGTTGCTAAATATTCTGTTGTTTTATTGAAACACTTTAGTGATTTTTGTGCCAGGGTGAAACTAAAATCTATCATTATGTCATTATGTCCATGTTGTAGCACACAGAAATGTTAAGTTAATATTTGCAGATCTGTGTCTATCTATGTCTTGCTCTAACTTTTGTTGAAAATGTGATTTATGTAATACTGAGCAGATCATTTCAAGTATGTGGCATATGTTTTTTACACTGGTAAGCTAATGTGATTAAATCATAAACATATCTTAATTACAGTACAATATAAGCGCAGGTTTAATTGTGGTGCTGTTAGGGATGCTGCTGACATGTAAGTCATTGTGTCTATATCAAGATTTTAGCCTAATGATAAGGAGAGATATTTGTGTCTTTCGTTAACATTCAGATCCTTAGAGATTATTAGAGATAAACAGTGGCTCATGAGCTAGAACCAAATTAAGGGCTCTAAAACCTGCACAGGAAAAATATCCCATATTTCGCCTGTGATCACACACTTTGGTTTTCCAATGCAGAAGAATGGCCAACAAAAGTAAAGACCACTGAGGGGAAAAAGTATGAAGATGCAAGCTGGTGATGATCCAGTGCAGCTGAGAACATGAAGAAAAACCCTGTTCAACTTCTCCACAGAAACAAGGTGAGTTTCATGTTATGATTTGTTTTAGTTTTCGAAGGTACATATGTTACTTCAATAATAAACTGCTCATATTACAACTGAATGCTGTTATGTGTACAATGACCAAAACCAAAACTATGTTATTTCTTGCTGGATTTCAATAGCAGAGTATACAAATCCATTAAATTTTCATTTGTTTTCAAGTCATTTTCCGCCTCAACTTGCTCAGTATTAAACTTTGTAAAGTGTTAAACCAAGTCTCTGTACTTCTTCCAAGCACTGTGTTCTTCAATATGTGCCTTTCTCTTTTTTGTATATATTCCTCTAGTACTCTAGTTTGTATACATTACTCTTGTTTGTTTGTAATTCTCCTGTTTGTTATTTATTTCTGCTGTCTTGTTATTATATTTTATACCTGCACATCTATTCATCATTGATTGAAGACAATAAGAACAACCGTAGGTTTCTCTTTAGCATCATAGCCAGGCTGACAAAAAGTCAGAGCTCTGTTAAGCAAACCATTCCTTTAACGTGAACTATCAGTGAATTCATGAATTTCTTCTCAAATTAGACAAAAAAATACTCATAATCATCTCACAGATGTTACATTATGTAAAGTTACTTTCAGTACCACTGATATTTATCTAGTCTTTTTCCTCAACTGATCTTTCTGAGTAAAGTTCTGTACTTATTTCCTCTAAACCATCAAC